GTTTTATATGTATATGTCAGTATGTATCTTTCTCTCTTTCTGTGTGTATGTGTGTGTGTTTGCGATCGATGCACTTTGAGTACGCGTTGGTGGGTATAAAAGAGCTTTATCGTTCAGATTAATCCGTTCTAACGCGTGTAAAGACGATGGAATAAGAAGAAGAAGAAGAAGAAGAAGAATAAGAAGAATAAGAATAATAAGAAGAAGGTAAACCACGACACAACCATTGTCTTGGCGCGTGAGAAAGACACGAAATCAGGATCGTCGTCTTCTCAAAAATTCTGATCTCGTATATTTCAATGAGGTCTCCTACCTCGAATTGAAGATTTTTTTTTTTTTTTTCTTAACCATCGGGGTCCGGTCAAACCGACCATTCCTTTAAATCGTTCAATGAACTTTCTGGGAAAAATAAATTCTATATTGTAGAATGTATTATCTTTTTTTCGGAATATATTTATTTCGTTTGAAATAATTGATTTATTCATTTGGTATATATATATATAGAAGATTTAAATAATAATTATTGGAATTAAATTGATTTAAATAAAGTGTGATGAAGGATGAAAGATTGGTTGATTTAAATTCATTTATTATTTTGATTTTCTAACAAATTAAAAGTATTATTTTAATCAAATAGAATTAAATTTTAATGAAAAATAAAATATGTACACGCATCAATTTGTATATTATAATTAATGAAAGAAATGTTAATAATTAAGAAAGACAAAAGAAGGGATTTATTTTTATTCATTGACGATAATGTGTTTGACGTAAGGAAAATTATTTGTTGAAATAACAGAGGAAGAAGAGAGATAGAAATTGGTTAAAACAAACAATTTTGTTCTTAACTGATTTTCCCTCGAATATGGAGAAAATCATTAGAAAGTATCTTTAACTTTAACTGGATAGTAATATTTCTACAGAATATAAGATTAATACATGGGAATGAATTACAATCGAAACTTTGATTTTTAAAAATAAATATGAAAAATTATTTTCAAACGAAAATATAATAATAATATATAGATTAATTAAGAATTAATATAAAAATCTTCTACATTATAATATGATATTAGAAAACGAATGAAATAAATAAATGAAATAAATTTCTATTTTTGTTAATATTAATTTGTAATGTAAATTAATTACATAGTCACTAAATTCCACAACAAAATTATTATTTACTTCCGTTCAAGAGAAATATTCCATCTCTCTTTCTATTTCTTTTCAATTTCACGCGTTCTCGTGAGTTGACCTGTGCAAACTGTGCTGTACAAACCAAACTCCCCATCATCATTATCATCAAACTCTTATTCGTTTTTCTTCCGTTTTGTCGAGTATACGCGTTTTACTAGTACTTTTCGGAAGGCAGGGGAAAAAAAAAAAAAAGAATATAAATATAATACACCTAAACTTACGAATATTATCGCAGAATTATTTCTACCAATCGAAATATATTTCAACTATTTCATTCGATCTACAAACAAAAAGAAAATAATCCTTTAACATATTTTCCTAATTGGATTCCAAGGAAAATAAAAAAAAGAAAGAAAGAACATATCACGAGATTTTTGGAAGATTGGCAAAAAAGAAAGTATAAAAAAAAAGAAGGGAGACAAGATATTCTTCTTCTCGAATAGAAATTTTTTTTCTAACGATTTGAGAAAAATAATAATCGATGCCCGTTGGGTGTATCGAATATCCCGTGGGAAGATGCAAGGAATGAAAACTTGTCGTTACCACCAACGAACACTTCTACACTTAAAAACTATACAAACTCATATACTCTTACACAAGAAATACATAATACACATATACATATATAAGAGAAGAATATAGTAGTAGTGAGATATCGAACGAGAGATGCAAAAATAAATAAAGTCAAAAGAAAAAGAAGAAGAAAAAGAAGAATCTTTTGTTAGTGTGTCTGTGTTAGGTGAATCGACGAAACTGAAACTCGATCAATGTTTGATGCTTCTACTAACACCATAACCAACACCAATACCAATAACAGCATCAACGGCAGCTTTATAGCAACAAGATCATCCAGTTTCTTTAACCTGATCCCCCCACCCACCCCTATCTACCAGCAGGGTCTACCTGACCTGTAAAAGGGGTAGTGGGGGATCAATGGGGGTACGAAACAAGAGGAACAGGTGTGAGTCGAGAAGTGTTTAGGAGAAACCATACTTTCATCTTTCTCTCTCTCTCTTTCTTTCTTATACTCTTTCTTTCTTTCTTTTTCTTATTCATTGTATATCTATCCATCTATCTCTTTTTAACTTGGGTGGTTAACTGAAGGTGTTGTCCAGTTGACTCAGGTATTAGTTTCGGCCCATTGACTAATAAGCATACGAGAAATCTTCGATGAAATCTCAATAACTATCCTACCCTTTCCCTTTCCCCCCTCACCTCACCTCGTTCCTTTTTCATTGGCCAAACCAATTAGAATTTTTGTTGTTATCTACTATACGTGGATTAAACTGAAGTTGATTTTTTTGTTGTTGTTGTTGTTTTTATCGTATCTTTAGATTATATTGTATTATATATATATATATAAGAATGTTCTTGTCGAATTAATTAGAATTTTATCTATCTGTATCTATGAACGTTGTGTTGATTATAAATTCATCTCGCGATTTATTTCATATCATTATTTTTGTATTTTATGAGGGAATACAAAAAAATGTTGATTATATTCGTAAGAATAGTAATATATTGATTTATCATAAAATTATTTTACTTTGATATTGATCGAAGCAACGAAAATATTGTTTTTAACTAATTAATCTCGTAACATTATTTATTATATTGAANAAATAAAATAAAATAAAATAAAATAAAATAAAATAAAATAAAATAAAATGAAATAAAATAAAATAAAATAAGATAAAAAAAAATTATTATTTTTTAGAGAAAGAGAAAGAGAAAAATACGTGTTACGTTGTACGCTTTCCAAACAAGCGAATATATCCCGTTCTCCGGTACTCGTCCTTTCTCATTTTCTCCCCCTCTCCCCCTCACCCATGCCACTCTCTTTTTCTCTCTCTCATATAGACACACACACACACACACTTTTAGAATTTTTTATTTGTTGCTATGGTATGGTTGCGAGGATGGAGCTCGAAGTGAATTTACTGCACGGTGTCTCTTCTCGTAAACTCGGTAAAGAATAAGCCAGGTAAAACGACGATTCGTATCTTACCTATGTGTATATTTGTATATATATATATATATAAGTATAGTATACTACGTATGACCAATAATAGACTTGACAAAGAGACCTATTCGCACAAAGGATGTTATATACATGTGGGCGTGTATGATTAATTTGTAGAAAATTATTTTTCTTTTTTATCCAAAATGAATAATGGAATATTAATTTGACAGTTTATCGATTTCTTCTTCTTTGTTTTTTTTTTTTTTAATTTTTTAATCATTCATTCTTAATTGGAAAAACAAAGTTTATAACTTCATACAATTATATTTGACAAATAATAAAAAAAAATTAATTATAATATATATGTATAAAATACAAAAATCAGCATAATTACAAAACAATCTCAATTACACAATTTTAAATATCTATAAAAATCTAATAAAATCAAATACGTGATTTTAATGCTGCACCATTCTAATTAATTTAATAAAAAAAAGTACAATTCTCACGATAGGATTATCTCACCTTCCTTTCATTATACCCCCTCTATTGCAATTACAAAAAAAAAACAACATGTATACGTATACACATATTAAAAAAAAAAAAAAAAGGTATATAAGATCATCGGTAAGCCTTTCATATTACGTTTAAGAGAGAGAAAGGTTTGCTTAGAAATCTATAAAGTTTCTGATTGCCAATGAGAATCCTTGGATACTAACACGTAACTATGATTTTATGTATATACATTTTTCTCGTATCATTAATAAGTGTTAGTGACAAAATAAGATATAAATGTATAGAAAAAGATAGATAGATAGATAGATAAATAAAGAAAACAAATCGTAGTATAGTCATAGTTAGAAGCTTTCTAGCTACTTGCTAACTTTTAATGTAACTCGCGAAAATGTCACTAACGTCGACACAACGTTAACTCATTTATATAACATACACGTATACAGAATATATATATACACACGTTATATATGAGAAGGAGGAAGAACTTTATGGAAAGCAAAGGTTAGCAGACGATCCTTTCTGCGCTTTCTACCTTCGATCTTACTCTTACCGGTAATTACATAGACCTATCTTCGTGCAACTCATCCATACACGTTTTTCTTCTTTCTTATACTATATCTTTCTCTTTCTTATTTACTTTTTATGTATATGTAAGAAAATATTCGTATATGTAAAGTATGCTCGAATGCTTCCTACATATATGTGTGTCTGTGTGTGTTGTATATGTTCAAATATATTCTTAGGGACATGTAATAATAGATATGTCAGTGTGTGTGTATTTTCGTATGCTCGAATACTTGGTACACGTGTGTGTATGAATATATATATATAATAATCATATAAGCAAACTACACAAGAAATTCATATAGCGTATCAATTTATAATTATATGAATTGAGTATATTATTTCTATCAACACGAGCGTGTGTCTGCGTGTGTAATAATATGCGTGCTAAAGAAAATAATACTATCGTCTTATTTCGAAATTATTACGATTTCTTTTTTTTTTTGTTCTGATATATAAAAATGTAAGAATAATTAATTACAATAATTTTTGGTATTAAAATATTTCATTGTAATTATATTTTTCTCTCTGACAATGATATAATATATTTGAAAAAAAAACAATCATTTGTCAAACGATTACGAGAATTCTTAATAAGAAGTTATCATAGGGAATTTACTATTTCTTTTTTTGATGTCCAAATTCCCTATGATACCTTCTTATTAAGAATTTGATTTTATGGACTAGATAAACAACTGATTGATTACGAGAATATTAATTAATATTAATAATTGTTCGTTTTGTTTGTTTAATAAATTAGACGACAACCGGGAGTGGATTTTTCGAAGTTCAGATCCTGTCGTTGACGAACAACAGGGGCACCCTGGTGGACGGCAGGTGTTGTGGCGGGGGTGGGGGAGGTGGAAAGGGTGGTTTACCACCATGTACTAGCACCTGTTCAACAGCCTTTTGGTTATGCCTGAAGGAATATCAGTCAAATGTCACTGCCATAGGTTCATGCAGTTTCGGCAATGTATCTAGTCACGCCCTTGGTCAAAACACCTTCACCCTTACTGAACCGGTCACCCTGCAACTACATTTCACTTTTCGATGGACCGTAAGTTTATTCAACATTTTTATAACAATTCATTTAATTTAATAGAAAACGGTTCTTTCTTTCTTGCTTTCATTCTTTTGTTTTTTTTTTTATTGGTTATTTTTTATCATTTTTAAAAAAGTAAAACTTTGTAAAAGGTAATGATACAATTTTATGATAAAAATATGAAACATATAATTGGGAACGTAGAGGTAGGTAAATAATATATGTGAGAATACGTTAAATATGGGTAACACAAAAATATCAATTTTTTGTTAAATCAGTTTTTTTTGGAAAGTATTATATAATATAAATTTTTTTTAAAATATCAATTTTTATAGATGTTTATGACTCAGTTTATAATATAATAATACATTATTTTGATCGAAATTATTTATTCGAAATATATATGTATAGTATTTAGAATTTTATTAATATTTTATAAATATATAATTTTAATATTATTTATATTGCAAATGACAAAAATAGGAACAAACATTTTAGATTCTCTTTTACATTTAAATGATTTTCTTTACGAGACTTTTAAATACTTTTAAAACACTTTAGAAAAATCACGGTGGTAACAATCTATTTCAATTCTCTTTATACAGTCACACACACATACACACACACACAGTAACGAGCAAATCTTTTTCCATTAATCTCATTCCAAGTGATATTCTTTGTCGGAAGCAATTACCAGCTTAGATATTGTTGGTCTATGATTTAAAAAAAACTAGGAACTTAAATAAAATAAAAGAATAATAATAATAATAATAATAATAATAATAATAATAATAGGAAAGAAGGGAAAAAGATTTCAACTGCGGCAGCACACGTAAGAGGAGATTATACTCAAGGAATTATAAGTACTCGTTAAAAAATTACAGACAGACAGAGAAAGAGAGAGTTGGTGAAAGATATTATAAAAAGAAAGAATGAGAAAGAAAAAAAAATGAAAAGAAATGAAAAGAAAAGAAAAGGAATTCATTAGTCGTGATTAATTTCATTCTCGGTGTCATCGTACCTGATTCTTGATCTTTCCTCTCCTCTGTCAAAGGAGAATAAAAAGACAAATTTAAAGGATATTATCAAAGATTTCGCGGTACGGATGAAGCCATAACGAGACAGCAACCATAACGGAATCATCTTCTTCAATATTATTCTTAATTCAAAACCACCGAACGTGTAGGGACAGAAAATCATTTATCATTTAAACTCGTTTAAATACAGCATCCTTCTTTATATTTCTTTATATCTTTCTCTCTCTCTCTTTCTTACCATTTTTTTTTTGTTATTAAGGATTAGGTACCTCGTTATAGTATTCGTAAAATAATTAAACAAAAATAATAATTGTTAATAATTAATTTGTATTATTCACATTCTCACTCGGAAATTAATTAAAATAATAACAAACGATTCTTTTTATATTCATACACACACATATATATATATAAAAGATAAATACACATATGAAAAGATATAAATAATCTTTTTAGAATACGTTTATTATTTGAGAATCTTAAAAACGCGTATCGTTGTGAAACACTACATATCGTTTGAAATTTGTCTAATTTTAGATTCTATTGTCGATTCAAAAGTCGTCTAGCAAATGTGTGATGAAAGAAGGGTTGGGGGGTGGTAACGGGGAGAAGGGAGAGGGTTATCGAATCTAAAGGGATTTCCGGTCTGCTGCCTTTCCATCCATGAATTGTACGAGATTTCTTTCTTTCTTTCTTTCTTTCTTTCTGATTCCGATTCTTTCTTTTGAAGATTCCAGTTCGGTTCCAGTCAGCTTGGCAACACCTCACCTCACCTCACCTCACCACAACTCTACCCCATTCGCTTTTCTTCTTATTCTTACACTTCTTCTTCTTCTTCTTCTTCTTGTTGACCTCTTCAAAACGATTGTTCACCCTCTTTCTGTTCGCGTAGATCCTATCTTTAGATATTTCGAAGCAATGAAACACTTCTCTCTTATATTATAGAAAGCGATTACATTAGATGTTTAAAGAATTGAGAACTCGAATAAGAACTTTAATTTTTTTGCTTTTATTGTTTTGCCTGTTTATTCTTTTAAAACGTCTTGCGTTAAAGAATAGTTATAAGGATTCGCGAAACAATAATATATGTGATTGGCTTATAAATAAAGTAATGAAATTTATTTGACAAATTTCATCTTATAAAATAATATAATAAAATAATATTACATATTATTTCAGAGAT